GAGGCGCTGGGTCTTAGGAAGGCCCCAGCCTGCAGTGTTTTCGGAGCTTTTGCCTTTATGTGACTTTTTTTCGAGTATTTGACGGAGCATTTTTGGAGCGTGTTCCGGAGTGTTTCGCTGGGCTGGAGCGTTTTGGGAGCATCTTTGTGGCCGCCCGGCCCTGGCCTTGAGGCATTTGTGGCTGGGCTTTCTCGGAGTGTTTGCTTGCTTGCACTCATGTGGGTGGCGCGTGCCGTTTTGCTAATTCTTTCAAAACTCTTGCTGCTACGTAGCTCGTGCTTAGTTCATACCATTGACAATCTGAGGGCTAATTACAAAACGCACCCCAAGCAAGCCCAAGGAATCGATCCCGAAACGCGGTTGCAAAAGGCTTCGGAAATGTTGCGGAAATGCATGCAATAGCTCGACACATTCCAAGCCAAGGCTGCTTCAGAACCTTACAACGCTAACCCGACTTGGCGCAAAGGGGAAAGAAGCTGTCCACTCACTTCAACGGAGCTTCTGACATCGTGTCACGTTCTTTCTAGTAGAAATTTTGACCGTATCTGATATCCTTTCGGGTTTGGGCCTGTGACTTGTTTGCGCTTGAGGGACCTCCTTTGGGGGCTCGTACATGGGTCGCCCTTCATCCTCCACTACGCCCTGTTGGGTGTTGGGTGATGGCGAGCCCGGCTTCGTCCATCGTTTTTAGTTTTGAGATCAGGGTCCCACATTTCCAACTTTCAGGGATTTGGTTGTTGTTGGGCTGTGTTTTTGAAGGGGAGGTGTTTAGGATTGGGGATTTGTTTGCCATCCATCATCTGCTTCGAGAGCGTTGGGCTGATGACTCATCATTCCCTGTGGGGGTTTGGGGTTGTGAAGACTCAGTACCGTCTATGGAGTTTGGTTTCCCACCCATCACATCTCCAGCTACTTATTGCGGTTGCCGGGTATACCGCCCATCATCTCTTTTGGAGGTTTAGGGTGTGCCATCCCTACCCGAAGAGGGTTTTGGGTGCTGGGGATCCAATCACCTTTGTTGGGGCTTGGCCCCATTCGAGGCCTAAAGGCTTTGCCATCCACCACTAGGATTTGAGGCTCAGAACCTTGGATGCCATTTATCATCTCTCATCAGGACTGGGTTACCACGCTTCGGCTCTTCGGGTTTATTGGTGGTTGCAGCCCATCATTTTGTCAGGTTTAGGGTTTGGAGTATTCGGAACCCAGTCATTGCGGGGTGGTGCGTGTAACAATGTCTCAGCCCAAGGTAAGGTAGTCTGACCGACAGTCATTGAGACATGTGTATATGTGTATTGGGTGGTCTCTTGTTTTTGCATTGGTTCTGGTGGTCTCTTGCGAATGGTCTCAGTCATTCTAGATGCAAGCTTGGATTGTGTGGAGCCTTGTCTGCCTTGTGCCAGAGTGAGAATCGAAAAGCTTCACGCACCTTGAAACTACTTGAAATGTCGGGTTCTCAAATTTGGAATTCCAGATTTGCGTGTCTCTGTTCTTTCTTTGGCCTCGCCTCCCCCTTCCCCGAGGCCACGGGCCAGAGCACATTGGGCTTGGGGGCACTCAGTCCCGCCGATCGGGGAGTAGTTCACCCTACTTGTGGTATTTTCTAAAAAGCCTCCTGGAAGTCGATGTTTGACAAAGACGACAAAATCAGGCCCCCAGGCCAAATATTACAAAATAAGTATATTATGTAAGATAGTGCAATAAAACATCAAACAGTTTGATATAATGTAGAATCTGGAATAGTATACTTAATCTAGTGCAATGCAGTATAGTATGTTACATCTTTCACTGTACTATAATGTACGATAACTTGTTCCAATAGTCTATACTACACCGCAACCAAAAATAGTATAATGTGCCATACACTGTCGTGTACCAATAAATACAGTATAGTATATTCCAGCTACCACCATATACGTCAGTATACTATTACATATTGCAACGGAGACTATAAGTTACTATGGTATTCCAGAACATGCGGTGTTTTGGTTGAATCTTTTTGGAATGCAGCAAACGAAACGTAACCTCACAGTATTTCGAATATTTTTAAGCAAGTATAAGGATGATAGTAGCAATACTCATAAACATAATCACGACATGACAGAATGCATATATCAATATATATATATATATATAGTCGCTTTCTATATGTATTTTATATATAGATATATGTGTATGTGTGTGTGTGTGTGTAGAATGCAACATAACACAATATACGACCACACAACATGATTTGGTATAATGCAGTATATACATTCAACGCCACAAAATATAATGTAAAATCGCATGCCACAACTATTTCAGTACTTGTCATGATAAAGTTTCGGCTCAGCCTTGGCGTCCAAATTCAAAAGAGAGTCAACCGGGGACGCACAAGTGAGGTTTTATATGTCAGATCATCTCAGCATGCGTCGATATGTAGTCAACGCATCTCCTCCTTTGGCTTGGTTGTAGATTTGAGACAACGGCGCACATACAAGTTTGCCGATTATCATTGCAAGGTGAATGGCTGCAACGATGGATCCAGTAGCCACCCCAGCCAAGTTTCAGCCAGTGTGCTGCTTGATCTCTGTTTCTGCTGGCGCCCGCAGATTGTAAGCAAATCCCCCAACTTTGCCTTGGATTCTGGCCCTTGGCTTCATTAAGCTTCCGTTGGAGGTCATGGCCCTCATGGGCTGGAATAGCGAGCCACTCCTGTTGCGGACCCAGCACAGCGGGTCCTCGTTGGAGTTCAGACTTCACTGGTGTTGGCGGGGAAAGGAAGCTCCTATTTCAGAGGACGCAACAAGACAACATGCAACAAAGCAATAATTACTAAAATGTCGTACCTAACGAGCAAGAAGAGGCAGCAGAACATCACCATGGTCATCATCGACACCAAACACACTTCGTCCCGAGGCTGCAGCGGTTGAAGTATCACGTAACGGAAGCAGCCGCATCCTGAGACTGCCGGTCTTGTATCAATGGCAGTGCTCTCACAGCATGGTAGGACAGGGCAGGAGTGCTTTGGGCCACGAGGGTGTTTGAGAGTGTGTCAGGTTCTCGAGATAAGCGCCATTGCTGCCGCGCTCCTACTCTGCAACCACCTGATTTCAGCTCCTGAACTTGCAGACATTCCGGCGGTCCTGAAAATGAGGTGTGCATGTATTTGGCTTGCCAGCAGCTTCAGCCCACGGGACCGGTGCTAGTGAGAGGGGCTGGGAAACAAGCTCTTTTGCACCTGTTGTTTCCTGGCAGGACTGTTCATCCGACTGTTGCTTGGCGCGAAATGAGCAATGAGACAATTTAGCCGTGAAGTTGTAAGCAGTAGGACTGACGGCACTATGACGCCTTCAACCATCATGTCCTTATGCATCTACCCTTTTACATTTGTCGCCCCGTGCATTGCTTCCTTTGTACTTGTTTCTCCTATTCTTGCTTTCGGTGGCTTTCTACCGCCGTTCCTGCGCTAGCCGGTGTTTTGGGGGCGGTGGTGGTTGTGGTGAACACGGCGGATGTCTTTCTGGGAGAGGATGTTGCAAAGACTAGAGTCTAGAGTCTCGAGAGGAACTTTGACCAACAGAGCGCATGGTCTCAGCCGCCCGCCCGCACGCAGGCACGAATGCTCGGAAAAAGAAGCACGGCGCACACACACACACACACACTGGGGTTGACCCTCAATATGACCGAAGTCATACCATGGGTTAGTAAGCCAATATCTTTTATGCAATTCTTCATTGGCATCTCTTCGGACGGAGCAGATCTGCACTCAGCTCAAACACTTCAAGAAACTGCATCTCTTCGGCCACTACAGAAACAACTTCAGGGCACATGTGGGCAGCCTCTTACGTGGATTGAGCGTCCTCAATCCGTTTCAGGACCAACTGGAAAGGTCTTCTCTGGGCAGTGCGTTCCAGATTGCCCACTTCCCCCCTGCACTTCTTCATGCATCCCATGGTCTCAGATATTCTAAGGGTGGTACACACACACGCGCATGGCACTCACCTGGCACAGTTCCAGAAGCTCAAACAGCTTGTTAGTTTGCTGTCGATGATTGCAACAAAGATCACGCTATTGACTATTGATGCGGCTTTGTGCTGTGGCGCACCTCGCTGTGTTCTTGTGCAGCCTTGACGATGGTCTCCCCAAGGCTTTGCTTGCCTCTCGTGGCCTGGACCCCAGCAACGGCAGTGTTGTCCCGATCCTGAATTCTGACCATCTGGAGCGGCAGAGAGAGAGAACAGAAAGTCTCGATCCCTCGTTCCGGGACGAAAGTCAGCAGTCAAGTCCATCTGTCGAAATGATGGATCGGGCGGCGCACTGCGGTTTGGGGGACGGCCCGCAGCCCCAACCCCGAAGACGGTATTGCGCAAGACATTCGTCCACAGCAGGCCCAACACACTGCAGACAGACTGTCACCATTATAGTTCAACTACTCCGATCGGGAATCGGCATTCCAGTGATCCTCGATGTTGTCAACCTTTCGCGCCGCACGGGTTTGTGTTTCTTACCTCTGACGAATTCAGGGCACTTGTAGGTACCAGAAGCCCTGCCTGTCAGAGGTCATCTCGCTGAAGCTGTGCTGGGCTCTAGAGCTTTGCTGGAGCCGGGCTCTCGGCTCTCGGAGACGGACGGAGACTCTATCTTCAAAGAAGGGATTAGCTTGTACATAGGCGTTTGTTGAGTCCCCGCGGCCCCATGCAGAGGCGGGCTTACTCCTTCCATGCTCTGGACAGGATAGCAGCCTCATGAAGATATCCCATGTAGATGGCCATGTATGCCATGTGTCTTTTGCAGCTTCGGAAAAACATCTTAGCGGTCTCTAAAGGCTTGCACAGGTCCAGCATAGATGCGAAAAATTCTCGTATCTATTATCGTCCGACGGCATTCAACGTGGAAGGATGACATGCAGAGATTTCCTCAGACCTCGTTGGACTTTGATGCCCAAGCCCATTACAAGGGAGGACGACGAACCGGTCACTCCTCCTGCTATTTCCCCTAGCTGTTGTCATCTCTCGTTTTTGATGGACGAGCGGCTACTGCTTCAGCTGGATGAGCGCGAAGGGAAGCTGGGGAAGGTGCTGGTGCCTCGGAACCCATTCAGCCTGTTGGAAACTGTTGCATTTCATGCTTTAGAGTTCGACTGCCACATGGCTGTCCGGGAGGGGTGTGGAGGCACAGAAACGACCAAGGGCCCAAATCAGATGCTTCTTCAGCAACTGAGGCTCAACAAGAGAGCATCTTGCAGCGAGCGATTCTGGAAAGCTTTGACCAAATGCGTCACGACTTGAATCTGAAAGCGGTGCCCTGCCTGAAACCGTGACTCGAAGCCTTGTTTTGCAACGGGCTTTCTGGACGGCATTGTTCCGTTTTTTGCTCGGCGTCGGATTCCCATACAGGTCGACGCTTTTTCTTCTGATCTTGGTCCGTGTCAGGTATGCTTGCACCACGGGCAGTGCTTTAAATCTTTGTTGCCGTTTGCTGCATACGGCACCGTAAGCGCTGTTTTGGTCCTTTCGTCGGAGGTGCAAAGACTGCATCCTGAGCCGGCTCCAGGGAGCCTCTCAGAAGAGCCGAATGTGCTGAGCCAGCTGAATGGCACTTGGCAGCCACATGCCTTGGGCGATGATCACATTGCTATGTCTCCCGTTCCGAGTCTTCCGAGTGAGCATTATCTCTCGGAGTCCATGGTGGTTACATTCCCGCCAGGAGTTGATTCGCCTGGTTCCGTATCAACAGGACAGGTGAGCGCTCAGGCGGATGCAGCATCGAGAAATTTGTCTAACGTCTTTCGAAACGTGACAGACCTCACGACCGCTCCAGAGTATGACCAGAATTACATCTCGGGGCGATGGATCCGGTTCCTGGACTACATTGCCGCAGCCTTTGTCGTCCTGAATTCAATCGCGTTAATCTTGGAGCTCGAGCTGGAAGGACAAGAAACTACATGGAGCTGGGTGCACGGGGGATCAGGTTACACTGATAAATTTCGCATTTACCGTTCGCAAGGCTAAACATGTCACGATGTGCTTATGTGCTTTTCACCAACGATTTGGAATTTCGGAGACGTACATAGCCGCAGAGGGGCGAGTGCATTAGAGGAGGAAAGGTGAGTGCCCGCAGCCTGGTTGTGTTGCTGCCAAGTTCCATAGGTAATGTTACTGGTGCCGACCATGGAGCCCGACGACGAGCGACGACGGTTGGAACCAAGTCCAAAGAGATGAAGCTACAGAGACTGTACAATCGAAACTAGCACATGCCTCAATGCGATCGTGCTTTTAGGACTTAGCTTCTCAGAGCAACTCAGCGCGTCCAAACATGCCGGACTGCACGACTGCAGCTGGAAGGAAGAGCTGCGCACATCGACATGATGTCCAGTGGCCCACGTTCGACAGACCAGCTGCGGCCGTACTGGCGCGCCGTGGATGGCACTTTCGATGCTGTCTTCCTCTTCGATCCTTGCCTGCCTGTCAGCACTTCTGTCCGTTTAGGCGCAGACAAATGGGATCAATCCGGTGCGGTCGAAAGCAGTTTCATTCACACGTCCACCGAGGAGCTCCTTTGTCGAGTGGCGGTGGAAAGAGGCAGCTTTCGGCACAGCTTCGCAGCCCGCCAGCTTCTAGGAGCTGCAGGGTTGTGCGCCCTACTTAACCTCACAAGTTCAAAGCAGCCGTGGCATGATTTGACGTAGAACCTGCCACGTTAGGGGTGAATCGTTGGACCATGGTCAAAAGCTTGTTGCTGTAGAAAGACTGATGTAGTGAACTGCGCTGTCATCCGGGGTGAGTGCCGTGAACCCGAGAAATTGCCACGGTCCCAAGTGCACCCCCCAGCCAGCTGCGTGAGCGCAACGACATCACCACAATCAGCACGACTCCACAAAGGCTCATGACTCGTCCGCTAGGTCGGCACCGGAAACAGGAAGGCTGTTCAATGGGTGGCCCGACTCTTTTGAGGAAGAAGACCCTGAACCTAGGCGGGTGAGCGGAAGAGGCCAGGCAGCGACATCTAGTCCGCGCTCGGCCCGAGGTTAAAGTCGTGACCAAACATTGCCCACTTGAAGAGCGGCGGGGTGGAGGGCAGAGAAGACGCATTCTTGATTTTGTCATTTATAGCTCATCTCGCCGACTTTGTCAGCTGGAAGACTTTGGTTGAGTTCAGTTTTCGCTTAGAAGCTTGCATGAAGCTCTTGAGCTAAGGCAAACCTGCGCCTCGGCATTCGGTTTTGGCAAATACGCAACCAGACAGGATTTGAGTAGAGCCTGGCAGGTACGATTGCTTGCTGGGCATGTTTGCAGCCATCGATCTGTGCCTCCGGCGATTTCTGCCTGAGAGAGGGAGAATCATCGGGGCTTTGACAAATTGAGGCAGAGGACATGGGCCGTTCCTAAGCACATACTGTAACTGAAAACAGTACCAGATATCGAAAGTGTACTGGTGCCTCGAAGCCAGACGGCGCTTTTCCCCTTGCTCTTTCCTGAGTTCCTGAAGCCCTGAGAGACTACATGAAGCCTCAACATGCCCGAAAAGAATCTGGCTAAAACACTTGTGGGTCGGTCTTTGCTGAAGGCAAGAAGATCAGAGCACGAGACCACTGCCAGAACACCCAGATTTCGGGGAAAGCCTTGGGCGGGTTTCATCGACAATGCCAGGTTCGTCGTGCTGCTGCAAGAGGCAGACCGTAGCAACCTGGGCACCGTTCCACGTGACGAAGCCGCATTCAGGGAAACTTCGGATCTGACATGCGCCAGGGTTTCCCGGTGCCTTCTGGCATGAAAAATGCTCTTAGGGAATAGTTTCGGCATAGTTAAAAGGCTCGGACGGGAGCATTCCGACCCCTTGATTGTGCCGTTCTTTTGTTGCCGGCGAGCATCGAGTAAGAAGCCCACTTGTCGATGCCGAGCAACATTTCCACACAGGCAACGTTTTGCGAGCTATCAGCTCTTTGCGAGCATTGCGCCTTCTTCGTGTGTTGCGGCTGTGCAATGGCCTTCAAGTCCTTCTGAACCTTGGCTTTCATTGCACGTTCCTCACGGGTTGTCTCGGCGTCCTGCAGGGGGCTAAACTTCTGGTTCTCTTGTCCATTTCTGTATGTTACTTGATCTGGTTCTAGACAGGAAAGCTTGTCAATCCTTTGCATCTTCGCTGTGTTGGTCAATGGTGCTACTGCTGATCTTCATCATTGTGGGCGCCCTCGTCATCGGGAACATCCTACAGGATTTCATTCAAGATCAGTCAGCGAATCTGGACGACAGGCAGTGGGTCTGGCATCACTACGGTACAGCTTATCGCTCCTGGCTCACCCTGTACGAGGTGACATTTGCTTGCCGGCCTAATTTGGCGTGTCATACGTATCTTAGCAGTTGTTGCCTGCCGCAAGATGTCTAGCACCAAGCTGCGTCTAGATGCGGCCACGTGAGTCCGGAATCTGCCGATCAAGACATGTCGACACGATGTGCAGCGCAGCGAGTGCAATTCATGCTCCCACTATATGTTATTCCCACACTTCACGCTGAGTCGTGCAAGAGAGGTAGTGCCGCTACGTCCTGCGATGACTAGGCAGTACAATCCGGACGCATGATTGGCCTCAGCCCAGGCTGGCAGCTGGCCGACGAGAACACGCCCGGTTTTGGACAAGGTCAGCCAGGGCTTTGCCATCTTCTTCGTACTTTACATCACGGTGATTGCCTTTGCGCTGATTCGCATCATCACTGCCATCTTTCTCAAAGACACGCTCGATGCCGCCAACAATGACGCCGAATTGCAAATCATGGAGAACATGACACGGCGGGAAAAGTGACCTTGTTGCACCGAATGTTTTTTCTTGCAGGTTGCGAGTCCTACAACGTGCAAAAACAAGTTTTCTGTCCGAGGTTCGTGCGCCACTTGCAAGGGATCTTTCGGGCAATCGACGACACAGGAGATGGCATGATCACCCAGGAGCGACTAGAAAAAGTCCTCTCCAATCCGAAGGCACGTGTGGGTCTGGGACGACCGTTCTGCCCATTGGCCAAGTCGAGAGACACAGAAAACGCGGCACATCAGTCTTCGTCACTTGTCACGTGTCACAGCTCTGTTGCTCGAGTCCTGCAGGTCAGGGCATACTTCCAGACCTTGGACTTGGACATAACGGAGAGCACGGCCCTGCAAATGGGCAAGCACAAAGAACATCCATATTAACTCCGTTTGTTGGAATAAGCTGATTAAGCCAAGTAGATCTAGAATAAACACACCCCAGCAGCAATTTTGTTCAGCGAGGTTCCATTTGCTGGATGATGGTGATGGTGAAGTAACGCTTCACGAGTTTATCTCTGGCATCCTGAGATGCAAAGGCCACGCACGTGCGATAGACCAGGTGGCTTTGCACACAGACATCAAGATGTTGGACAAGAAGGTTTCCAGATTGGGGGAGGCATTGCTTTCTCGTTCTGGCCGCAGATCCGATGTCGAACCTCGGCTACAGAATGGTTTTACAACATAGGCCTTGCCTGTGCGAGAGGCCTGGATGCAAAAGGCCCTGCCTGTAGTGACGAAGTAAAAAATTATTTGTCAACCTGTGTTTCTGGAGTGCTCCCTTTGCCTCGCTCTCTCTTTTTGTCTCTGTGCTCGCGTAGCCGTCATGGATGTAGCAGCCGGTTATCCACGACATACCGCAGTCGGACGGAGATGTCTCCGTGTGCTGAAAGCAATGCACATGGCATGCATGTTTCTGTGTGCCGTCGCAAAACAGTGCAAGGGAGAGCCGAGCACCGAAATTTCGTAGTGATAGTAGCGAACAACCGCACACGAATCAGTGCGACACACGCAATCCTTTGCACAAGCACTGTAGCTGCCCGGCGGGAACTCTGCCACCTGGACCCCATGCCGCCAAGGCATCAGCACGCCATCGGCGAGACAGCCATGCAGAACTACTCTGCATGTTCAGTACCAAGAGCACCAGCAAGGAGCTCACGCTCTGATGTGCGCAGTTTCTGCACAAACTGCAAGCGCGAATGCCCAAGCCCACCCATCGTGTTTCTATGCAGCCAGTTCTGCATATTTTACTGGAAGCACATTACTGTTTGCTGCAAGCCAGGCCCGTACACCGGCAACAGCTTGGGAATTCTTCTTGTAATGCACATGTGGTCAGATTTTCCAGTCGTCCTTCTAAAAGAAGGACATGCACGTGCTTGAAGCCGTGCTTCAGAGTCTTGTTCGCGGCGTGCTCGATCCGTTCTGGTGCTGCTTGTGCTACCGAGTACCGAAGAAATCCGAAGTATCCTCATGTTTCACCCTTTGCAGGTACAGATTGGGTCCTTTCCCATCTGCGCTGCAGTCAAAACAGTCAAAAACTGGTTCCAGGTTGAGCCTGATCAGCCAGCCCCATTCAACGTGGCCAGAGGCTACAGCATCCACGTTGCAAGGCCTGGAGTAGTCGTTTTACCAGGTATTGCACATGGGTGCAGACCGAGCCAAGTTGCGAGCCCAAGGTCCACGGCATAATACCGCTAGCCACAAGCAAGCGCATTGCTGCAAGAAGTTAGGAACTGTTTGCCGAAACCAAAGAAGCTCAGGTTACCTTCGGATCAAGCACGCAGACCTCTCTACTGCGATGCGGCGCATGGGGTGCATCTGCCGGATTGATTCAGATAGCGGGAGAGTTGTTGGATGGTGGTTCAGACTGGTCCTGATCACATGCTGTGACTGAAGATGACACGTGATTTCCGCTCGGCTTCCCACCGTCATCGTGTGCATCGGGTGTTCCAACCTCGATTGGGGCAAAGTCCGTAGCGCAGCCTGCTGCAACACGCAGTATGCTCGCGATCGTTTTCATTCGGAATTCCAGGTGCCCCCAAAGCATTCGCGTCCGCTGGTTGGTCACTACCTTGATGCATCGCCTTACTTGTTTTGCCCCGGCCCGCAAACTACTCCCATGTCTTTCAAGTTCGTAGGAAATGCCTGTAGTCCTATAGTTGTAGGGCCTCGACCATACTTCCAAAGCCAAATCGCCCGGATGTCGAAAGGTGTTTCCATACGCGCAGCCATTGGTCCTGCTCAGTGGCCGGACCCCCAAACTCTGCTAAGCGGCAATGTAGAGAGCAGGCTCAGGAGTTGGCAGCGGTTGTTTGCCCTCTTGCATTGCACATTGAAAGGGATCCCGAAGCTTGAAAGGACGGTGCATGCCAAGGGTGCACCAGCTTTGAGATCCATGCCCAAGGCCATGTTCACCTGCTTTTCATGCCTTCTTATGGTGTGGCACACCATTGTCCTGCTGCTGATGTTCTGCCACGGCCTTGATGAAAGAGCAGTGTGGCAAGCAAATCGGGTTTGGGCTTGCTCGCATTAGGTCAGTTTCGTGCGGTAGACACGCCACCTTCCAGCACCAATACAGTTGCGACTAGCTGACACTGAGGCTACGACTACGATTCGAAGCAGGCGCAGGGTTTGCAAATGCAGTGATGAGTGGGTAGGCGCAGGTTACAACATGAAGAGTGATTCATACAGCACACTCGCGATTTTCGGGTCCCTGCACCACTGTTCAACGAGCGAGCTTGCGGGCAATCTTTCTGAGGCATTTGCCGTGAGATTCCTCATGGTCTCCTCTGGCATTTTTGTTGTGGGGACCTCGGGTTACATAACGATGCTGAGTCCGAGCACCAGCGTGTCATGCTGAACACAATCATCCTCAAACGGGCTTCGAATCCACAAATGCCTCTAGGTAGCAAATTGGGCCTTCTGGCGAGACTTCGCGCCGAACTTAGATCAGTTTCAACCCTGCACCAGAACACAGTCGTTGCGGTCTTCCAGCATTCGCTGCCATGGTCCGGAGTTCCTCTGGCTTCAGGTGCGGAACTATCGCGATTCTCAGGATGAGGAGAGGCTGGAAGCCTACCGCAATCTGTTGAAAGAAGCCTTTCACCGTGGTTGTGTTGGAAGACCCCGATGGAGCCTTGCACGCTGGCCAAGCCCTGGCTTGAACTGAGGTTAGATTTTGTGGGTCTGTACAAGCTCCAGCTCTTATGCAAGATGTACAAATCCAAGGCCATTTTACCTGTATGACATGCCAGCTGTGTCACCGATATGCTTGCAATGCGAACCTCACTTTCAATTAAGTGATGCCAGGTCATCACTTCGCACAAGGTAGCTGATTTGCGTGCTGCATCTGGCAGTGAGCCCTTATCTTGTGCAGCCGCCATGCTTAGCGGTTGAGCGCAGCTAGATACCTGCCTCTCTAAGCTGGAAGTTTTACGACAGCTATGCATTGAGAATGATCAGGTACCACAACAGACTGCGACATGCCCAGGCTCTATATTGACACGTGCAGCCTTGCCAGGTACAGTCTGCCTTGAGGCCAGGGCTGCAGAATGTCCTCGCAGCAGTAAGTTCAGGCATCTGCCTTTTCGCGCAGAAGTAATTCGCGCGTGATTCCTCAGGATTTTGATGACTCTGAGGTCGTCGCGAAGCTCCCATGTGCCTTGCTGGACTCTGGCCTGAGCAGTTGGATGTGTAGTTGGCTTTCGTTCTGGTGGTCGTCTGCCGACCTAGTGTCTGTTATGCAACACTCGCACTGGCTGAGAAAGAGCTGAGCGCTTCGTGGTCAACGGAAGCAAACCCGACCGACGAGGCAAGCAAGAGAGCAGCAAAGGCAACCCCAGCCAAAAAGCTTCAGCTCTGAGCTAAAGATGCTCGTTCGGACAGAAGGCAGAGCACCGTGTTGGGCGCTTGGGCTGGTTCGCACGAGGGGGGACTGCACACCAATACCAGGCTGCTGACGATCATGCTCAGCATGGAAAGTGGCGGCCAACTCACAAGCTGAGTGGGAGGACGAAGCGGGCATGCGCAGCCACCCTGTGGTCCTCTGCGGATGCAGGGTGGGACAGAGAGCCGGGCTTCGAGAAAGCAGCCTCGCATAGTGGCAGTCCTCGTCTACCAGCTGTTATGAGCCCTGTCAGGGATATATACAATCATAGATACATACATACACATACATACATACATATTTATATTTATATTTATATTTATATTTATATTTATATTTATATATATATATATCATAGATATGTATATGTAAGGGGCCCACGGGTATGTTTGGTCTCTGGGTTCAGGAAGGGAGAGGCGGGGGACCGAACAGCTTTGCCCAGCAACTACTCGTAGGACATTGCCCGGGTTCTGCCTGCACAGCTAGGTGGCCACTGCTTCCACACGGCTTGCATAAACAAGTGGGTCATCGAGGACAGGTGCTGAACAACCGGCATTCGCATGGCCTCATTAGCAGTCTCCTCGACGGTTAATGCCGGATTCGGACTCGCGACTGTGAAGGACTGGCGATGTCCGTTTCGGTGCTCTCTCGAAGTGCCAAGGCTCCCGAAGCTAGGGACAGATTGGCTGGTGCAGTTTGGCAACGGCTCCGTCAAATGCGTTAATGTCCAGAGCACCACAACGACACCTATGCATGGCAGTAGTAGTTGTCGCTGCCGCCGTCCGAAAGCATACTTATCACAGCTGGCAAATATTATCATCATATCAGAGAGGATGACACTGGCAATCAACTGGCCGGAGCAGTCGCAAAAAAAACTTTCTATCACAAAGCATGTTCCCTGCGTGCTCACAGGCAGGACTCGAAGCACCCGCCAGAGGCCTGGCTGGCGAGAGCCGCCGAGGCCGCTCACGCCGGCTATGTCTTGACTTTGTTTTTTTGCTTTTCTTTTGGTGCTCCTAACGGTTACGAAAGCTCCTTCTCAGCAGCTTGAGTTGAGCCTTAACCCGTCGGACAGGTCAGCATCATTCCAGAACCAGACCTCGAGGCATCCGAGACAGACTGCGACTGAGGGGAGAGGGATGGACAGGGCCTGGGCTGGGCCTGTCTCCTTTGAACCACTGTTTCATTCACATGCCAATGCTTTCATGTCGTGAATTCAGCACGGCCTCAATTCACGCTTTGTCGCCAGTGCACAGGCCGCAAATCGGCAGAGGCGGGGCTGTGGGGAGTCTCACCGCAACCCTCCGTGGCCAGCGGAGTCGTGAACGGTCTCGCGAGGACAATATCATGATTATGAAACCTTCCAGCGCGACTCGCCACCAGCTTACGACGGTTCAGAGTTTCTATTGCAGGAATGGGCTTCTCCAGCTGTCGCACGCTACAAGAGCTGCATCTCCCACGTGTTCGCAGCACTCACAGTGCACCCCCAGCTGTTCACTGCAGGTTTCGAGGCCGGCCCATGCAAAAGTCAAAGGCGCCTGGTCACAGAAGAAGCGGAAGACCGCTATGCTTAATTTGTTTTCCATAAGCCAGCATCTAAAGCATTTAGTTTTGGTGGCAACGTGCTCCCACACACGCTGAAACTCGAATCGCCCGCTTTTGAAGCGTCTGGTGAAGTGCTGGCTTGGAGTTGTGCTGTTCGCATGTGCCCGAGCAATGGCGAGGCTGTTGTGCGCACAAGCCATGATTAATTCAGTAGTTAGGCATTGAGAACCTCCTACGGAGGCCAGGCTTCGTCGATGAATCAGATGGAGTCAACTAGAGTCCAAACCGTCTCCTTCATGCCTGGACTCCACGTGGAGTGCTGCTGTCGTTTGCTTCGCAGGCTATTGCGACCGCTTAAATTGCGACACAGGGCCTTGTTCAGCAAACAAGCCACACCCAGGATGAGCACGAGAGCAGATTGATGTTAGTTAAATGCGCATGTGAAATCTGATTCTGCGAACTGCAGCATGTGGACTGGCACCTGGCTTCGTTGCTGGCAAGGGCCTGCACTGGGTTGGAATGCAGCTGGAACTGCCCCTGCATGAGCCATTCGGCTCAGCTTAAGAATTTCAGTTCGGAAAGCTCAGAAACTTAGATCCACAGAACTTCGACACTGGGCTCCAGACTGCCCGAATTAGTGCACGGGCATCGCTGCTAAGCTGGCCTCTGTTGCTGTTGGTGAGACCTGAAGATTCCCCGACAGGAGCTCAACGCAGAAGAGATCACGGCATCACAGCCAAGGGGCTGAAGCCAGGATGCCCGTCCTTGCTGCGACACAAACTCGTAGCTGGGTCATGCAAGTGAGCGCTAATGCAAGTAACCGAAGGTCGTGGTCCATCCCACGAGTGCAGGTGAAGGCAGCCCAGTTCAGCGGCTGCGTAAAGCCTGCATAATTCAAACCCCTTAGGTTTGATGTGAGGGTCTTGCACCATGCGTGGCACAGCCAGGCAGGGTGTGGCCACTGCCCACTCCGACCAATCAAAAACTGGATCAGAAAAATGGAGTTCCTTTTGGGGGACCTTGACGTTCAGGAGTCCCACCTGTTCTATCAGGTAAGCATAGAAGCGGATCTACCTTTTTCTGACCCTCTCCGGCACGGTGCGGACCTACAACAAAGGAGGTTCAGTAGGCAAGCTGATGACGCTGCCAAGGACGAAAGCCTCTACAAGAGAGGCATGTTCCATTGCACAGGGCAAGCGCCAAAATCGCCAAGCCTGAGCTGCCTGGGCCTCGACCCGACCTGATTCTTGAACCACTCGCCCCGCAAACCTCCATGCCATGGAGAAGACAAGTTTTGTGGAACCCTTTCAGCCGGCTTCCCTGTGCTCACAGAGTTGTGTTGCAGTCGCATCCAGAAGGACTTACGTCCTCATTCCGGGAAGGCCATATTTTTATACAGACATGTCACCTCACGGGAGCTTACGAGAACCTCCTTCGACTTCGCAGACGTCTGCAGAACAAGCTTTTGCCGTCTCCTGTGTTCGGTGTCATTCATTCCGGCAACCCTTTTCATAAGTTGATGAGGATGGATTGCTTCGTCAGGGCTGTATGCTAGAACGATATTGCCCGGTCCATTTGCATCACAAGAGCTGCGAGTGTTTCCGAAGCCAAAGCGAAGCAGTTCAGAAGGTTTCCAGCGGCAGGGAAAATCGGAGATGGAAAAGCAAGCTGTGCATTGGCGACTGTGAGCATTCGCTGCTGCATTAGACCGCCGTCTCCACAAGATCTGATTTGGCTTTTCGACTGAGGGCTTATCCGAGGGCTTTTGAGAAAGGCTCTGCCAAGCTTTAGACCTTGACCCCGTACACAAAAGTATGTGACAGTTTGGGAACACAATCAAGCTTGTGACACCTTGCACCGTAAACAACCAGGCCAAGAGATCCATCTGCCTGCTTGCAATGGCTTCATCTTCTCGGCGCGGAAAGGCCCGAAGAGTCTGAAGCTTCCCAGCTTACTTACTTAGCCTCCTTGCTTGCGCGCAGCGGGAGGCAGTGAAGCTGGCCAGCTTCATTTGTGCCTGGCAGCTGGCAGAGCTCGTAGGCCGTGCAAGGGCTATTGGATGTCTAAGCCTCTAAGCCAGGTTTCCCGGCTCTTGGTGGAATGCCGCACAGGCACTGCCTTCACGTTGCGGCCGCCACAGTCGCCAAAGGCCCTGGCTGCCATGGCTCAGCCAACAGCCGTATGTTGACCAAAGCATGAAACATGTCGAAGATTTAGGAGGGCATGTAAAGGACGGAAGGCCGTCCTTTCGAGTTTTTTCCCTGACAGAGTTGGCTTTCCCTTCTGTGAAGAGTCAATTGTCGCTGTCGCTGTCTCTTTTTTTTCGGGAGTGTTCGAGGATCGGAGGGTGGGAAGACAGAAAGCTAAGTTCTTTGGGCGTGATATCAGAAGTGAGGCGCTTGATGAATTGTGAGTAGGTTGAAGCATACAATATAAGTCCGGCACGTTTCCCATGAGTGTGATGCAGCACAGGGCAGATTAATGTTCAAGCGTCCCCGAGAGCTGTCGATTAATCGAAAGGCCCCCTAAACTGAAGAAAGCGCTACAACGGGGTCTAATCTTGCTTCATTTGTACCAGCAAAGCTATACCACCACCACGAGTCCATGGCAGCAAGCGGGAGTTTCCAGACCAAGCGCGTGTGGCAGAGCAGACACATCCGTTGTGCAGGTAACAGCGTTGCGAGCGACACTGGTTGGTGAAGATGGCCCGGCGCACAGGTAGTTGGAGAGACTGTGGCCCAACTGAGAAGCACGTGGTCACTCCACCCGGCAAGAGCAGGCAGCTAGCTAGCCCCTCTGTAGCTTTAAGGCAGCCGTTGGATATCTTGATCAGAACAGCCCTAAGGCTCTACATTCGAGCGACTCACGACAAGCAGGACGCCCCAGGCCTGATTGCTTCTGAGTCGTTTTCTCATCGTTCACTTACAGTGATGCAAGCTTTCAGGCCAACAGGAGCCCGCGACAGGCACCAAAGGAGCAGGACCGGACCGACAGAATAAAGCCAGTGACGGTGATGTTGCTGGTGATGACGTCGTCTCCCCATCATCATCATCATCAGCAGCATCATCATGAACACGAACACGCTTGTAGTGATTTTAAAGCAGTAGCACCATGTCGCGATATCATGTGTCTGGCAGCCTGAGTTCTGCTCCTCGCGATTTGGAGCATGCTAGGGCTTTGTCTGTATCATTTCCCACGGCAAGGGTTCCAGGTTGCCTGCAAGCCAGCTCAACATCAAGCTGTGCAGTTTATGACAGATCGATTGGCAGCTGCAGTGTGCCAATGTTGGAAGACTCCTGGCAAATCCGGATCTGGTCTTGAATCCATGTCCTCGCACGGAGATTTGCAGGAAGAGCCCGTCGGGCAAGACTGGTATGCCTGTGCCCCGCCGATATCGCACAGAACCGTGTAGATTGTCGCTTGCAGCCTTTATTCAGGTTGGTACCATCAAGTCCTACTTTCCAGAGCAAGGCTTTTAGACACTCGAAGGTTATGGCGGTTATGGCAGGCACATGTGGAAGGCAAACCTCGGCCAGGCTTCGGGTTCATTGAGTGCCCGGAGCTCTTTGAGTTGCACCAGGTCTGAGACGACGGAAATGCGTAGTTAAACTCTGTCACGCGCAGCTGCCAGGCGGATGTGTTCCTGCACAAAAACCAGGCCACGTGGGGGACGTGCTTGCGAAGAGTTCTGTGCGATGTTTCGAAGCTCCTTTTTTTAGGTGGACCAGCACTTGGGGCACCGGCCTTGGTCAAAGCTAAAGTTGGACCAAGTCACGACGTTCGCTCTGAGGAAGAGAGCTTACCCAGGCCGGGGCTGTGATGGCATGCGGAAATGCCAGACCGGCTCTGCGAGTGTTTTGGCCAGCTTTGCTATTTGTGGAGTTGACTTGCGCCTTTCAGGAGACAAGGTCAAGTTCTTAGTCGGCATGAACAAGGCAAGGTGCTGACGACAAATTCAGGGCGGCAAGGCACCAAGGCAGTGTGCAATGCGCAGGCGAAAAAGCCTCAGGCCAGAAACGCTGCGCACTCGGCCTTCCTGCTTCTTCTCGTCCTACATGGAGCGATTGCATGTAAGCCGGGGAGGATAGCAGGATTTCCTGATTTCCACGAGGTTGCCCGTTTTGTCGGCGAATCCGCTGACACAGGGTCGCCTCCTCACGCCCTTGGCGTTTGGGTTAAGGTTGCTTTATCATCCTGCTGGAGGAAGGTATAGGAAGGTAAACTGCTTAAAGCATCTGTCATCATCGACCTTCCCGCTCTGTTGAGGTCTTGGGTGGATGGCAACAAGACGTATGTTGCCGGCTTAAGTCCTCGACATCAACTAGCACCGACGTTTAGGTCTGTAGCCAGCGGACTCATGCAAGTAAGACCCAAGCGATAGTGCAACAGGAGATGCCTGCTCAATGACTGTCTTCCGACGATGCTGCTCCTATCTCTGTCAAGTTGGGCTTTTTGTGAGGTTGGCCGTGTGAAAGAGTACTGGCCTGCGAAGGGCTACGGCTTCATCGCCTCTTGTCTATAAGGCTTGCGTGTTTATGAGTTGGCCAAGAACGGATGACATCCTTTAAGCACAAGCCGTGAAACCGTGACAACTGATCGTGCACAGTGCAGCTTGGCGTGCCTGTTGAAGTAACACAGCCCTACACGCACACAACTTGTGCAAGTTGCAATAACCCCAGCCAGCCTGCACACACCAGCAGAAATGGTCGGCTTGCCCACCCAAGGCCTGCGAGGAGACCAGAGGCATTTTCCAGAGCACGAGACTCAGGACACATGCCAGCTTCATGTCGAGTTTTCGGAAAGGATTTGATGGTATGTGCATGGACCGCGCGGGCAAGCTGCGGGCTGGTCCCCAGAACCGTCGCGCTCGCAAAGTGGGTTTCCAAACCGCGCATCAGCCGATTGGCTGGTTCGTTTTAGGGTTTAGGGGTTTAGGGGTTTAGGGCTTAGTAATTTAGGTTTAGGGTTTAGGGTTGATTGGCTGATCGGCTGATGCACGGCTCTGGGCCCAAAAGCCACGCACACTGCACAAAACGAATCCACGAAGGCACCACAGGCACGAAGCTGCTAATCTTCGCCACGTCTGGGCTCCCGTGATTGAGGCGATGTCTTCCTGCACAAGAACCAAGCTGAGGACACTGCCGTACCTTGTGTTCTTCAGCCTTGATAGGCGATACAGGGCGAGAACTCTGCTTTAGTGCTGCGGGTTTGTGTTGCGACTGGAAGCGATGACCGAGCGGCCTTGCTTCCAGGCGCGGCGTAGATCCAGAGAGAATCACGGACCCAGACAAGCCAAGAAGAAATGAGAGAAGCAAAGCCAATGAACACGTGTTCTGAGAACTCTCCATACCCGTACTTGCATGATTTGGCTGAGTTCCAAGAGCTTGTTGGGCGGATTCTGGCCCTTGCAGAAGCTTCAGTTGGAGGAAGCCAATCTCGAGAAATCGAACCTGGTGACTTTTTCTGTGGAGGCCTGGAGGTTCAGTCATAAGTCGGAGCTTCGGATTAGTTAGGCTGCGTTTTGGCTGTGCTACACCCCGCCAGATCAACAGCAAGGGCAGGCCACAAGCCAGAAATGCTGGCTCCCCAAGCCATTGTGCTCCGAAAGAATGACAACGTGAATGTTGCCAACTCCTCCTAAAGCGTCATGGGAACAAGGTCGAGCGTGTCTCGGCGCCTTCCTATGCCAGCACCGTGTCTGCAAGCCAGACTCCTTTCTGTGCTTCAAGTGGATCTTCTTGTCCCTCCTTCCGTCCGGTAGCACCACAAGTGGCAGACGTGACTTCCGCTAATGAAGTTTGCAAGACATCGCAGGTCGGGAGCCCTCCGCACCCGCAGAGGCCTTGTGAGTGCTACGCGTTTCGGCTTAGTGCGGTAGCTCCGTGACACTCGCTTCGTGAGGCGGACGTTCAGATGGAAGATGCGTGAATGCTGTCGGACAGTGTAGCAACAACCCGCCGGCCACAAAGGCAGAAAGTCAAAAATAAGACTGCTTGACACGTAGGAGTTGCGATCGGATACTCAAATGCAGTGCTGGCGGTCGGAAGGGGGCAAGTTGTCTAAGACAGGCATGCTCTCAATGAGGGACTGCCGAAACCCAGTTTTCGCTCTCGGCTTGTAAACTGGTGATGAGCCCAGGCCCAAGGCCAGTTCCAGCCTGCCCGCTTTGCGAGCCAGTCGTAGGGAGGCAAGTAGCAGGACTTGGCCGTGGCTCAGTTTTGCCCACGCAAGACGAGGAGGCACCAGTTCATGACTGTTGGAATCAGCAGGCGGCTGACATGCTTGAACGCCGTTGCTTCGTGCATCTATGCCACACCATTCAGGAGCTACATTTTTGATCCAAACATAGGAGAAGCAATTGGATCCTCAGAACTACTAGGTCACCAGGCCCTGGGCAGCAGTTTCACTGCAGATGCTGGTAGATGCTTCGGATTTCGGGAAGATCCGCTTCGAAGTTCCAGCGACCCTGCCGCCGCCGTCAGTTCTTGCCTGACTGTTGGGAGGGCTTCCACCATGGCGCCGGAGCTTGTGGCAGAAGCCAAAAGCTCCGAGGTCTCCAGGATCGAGGATTTTGAGGCACTCTGTACGAAGCGACGAAGTTGCGTGTTTCGTGCTGTGTAGCTTGCAAGGGCTTGCCTCTGGCAGGCCTTCTTATCGAAAGAGCTGGCACAACTGCACTCGCGCCTGCTGAGCGCACATGCATCTTGGTGCATGTTGTTGATTGAACCCCTTGGGTGGCAGCTTGGTCGTCGACGTGAAGGCACCATTCACTATTCAGGTTCAGTTCCGAAAAGACGGACACCGCTTTACCCTTCGAGCCAGATGGTTCCGAGAAAGCAGAGCAACGTAATCTAAAGAAGACATGCGGCCAGAACCGGCAAGGAGTGACAAGGCGGGTGCACCGATGACCGCAGCCGACAGGCTGCCGTTTCGTCAACTGAGGAGTCGCTGGCACGATGCGTCTCGCCCTCCACACGGAAACAAAGCGAGGAAAGCGAAATTGAACAGACTCTTGGCACGAAGTCAGACGTTCGACAGGCGGTGTTGTCACACTCTCTGCCTAATATTAAATTGCGTACTAGGAGGCATTCGAGTCGCTTTCGATAGCAGGACCACAACATGACGACGCAACACAGCGAACCCTGTAACCCCTGTCATGTTTCGAGGGCTGTGGAGAAAAGCTTCTGCAAGGACCTTCTGCCAGCTGCGGGCCTTGGCCACACCAACCACGGCTGCCGCAGAGGAGTTTTCGTTGCAAGGGGGCCTAGCAGCGTAGCAAAGAGCAGGCTTGTGAGCCACGGCTGCCAGGATGCCCATCTTGCGCCTGCACTGCCCCCTCCACTATTGGAGGACACTTCTACTTCTGAGCCCTGCCTGCAGTTTGGAAGGGAGCACAAATCTGAGATATCCTCTGCTTCTGCCACTGCTTCCCAGGACCGGACAGAGAAAGATGCTTTGCCCGACTGGGCACTGTCCCGCTGGCAGGATATTGTCGAAAAGCTCCGAGACAGCCCTTCGCCTTTCGCGTAGTTGTGGGAGTCTTCGCATTTGGTGCTGGTCGTTGTTGTGCCAATGTTGGCTGCTCTCCTCCCGGCCGCTTAAAGGATGGGAAGCAGAAGAGCCTCAAAGTCCGCGCAGCTGCACGGGGAGACAGTCACGAATGAGGCGCCCGCCTCGTTCGCGCGCAGAGCGGCAAACTGGAAGAACCATGCAGCCTCTGCATGTATGTTTCGGACAGCCAGACGAGCTCTTGGATGTCAGGGTGACTTGGCGACTCCAGGGTGAGTCGACGCTGTGGGACGTAACTTGGATAGCTAGAACTGGTTAATGCTTCATGTGACAGTATGCCCGCAGCTATGCAACAGAGTACAAAACCTTCAGTGCAGCTGAACGGGGAACCTGTGCATACAGGTTATATAACTGCCTGAGTAATTGTGTTGCTCTCAGTCCTGAGGCATACTCGAAACAAGGTGGGAGGGAACGCTTCGGAAACGCCTCTGTTCATGTTGCATGTCTTGTTTCCCTTCGCGGGAGACGACTTTGTGCCCGTCTCTTCTGGCGCTGTGTAGGCTCCATCGACTTCAATGGCATCCTCGGCAAGGAGAAGGGCGACTCTAATCCCGACTTGCACGAGGTGAGGCCAAACACAGGCTTTTTCCAAGCGTGGTCCTTGAGAAGAGCAGACACTGCAGGTGATTGTCAAAACGAGCACCGGCTGCAGCGCTTGCCTCGGATGTTTGGTCCTACACCCGTATGGCTGGCCGAAGCTTTTCGGCTGCAGTCAGATCTGAGATCTTCTCCTGAATTGGAAGTGAATCCCGCGAAGGTTTTCGTGGAGCATCATCCTGCTGGTGGCAGTGCTTTGGGATGCTGTGACGATCCCACTGCAGCTGTTTGACCTTGGGGCCTTCTCAGCTACGCTCGACGCCATCAACACAGCGACCATCTTTTTCTGGTCGACGCCCTACACTAGCATTGTAGCTTTGAGCTCCCCTAAATTGTTTTGCTTCCGGTACCTGTGAAAGATTCTGCGACGCGACACTCCAACGTAGAGCATGCAAGCACACAGTGTATAGCAATGTGTAAGCACAAGCATACACACGCCCCGTGTACATCGCCTTCGGTTCTGTGGAAGCTTCAAGGCTAGCGGATATTCCGGTCAGCTGCTTCACCGCTGTCGACAGCGACGGCCTCCTGGACTTCCGGCCGCGCTCGTGCATTCGGGACTACACGAGGCCCTCAAGGCTTGAGGACTACGTTACAAAGGCATCAACGCAGTATAGCGGCAGAAGCAGCAATGATTCGTGTTTTCTGTTAGTGGTAGTCCCATTATGATAGGAGAGGTTAGACAGATGCAGTGTCGTGCAGTCCTAAATCAATGCGACAAGGAGCCCAGTGTGCTTGCGAAGACAGACAGCGCGGGGTTTACGAATCTGTCGGCCTTGCCAACATCATACGTCCATTGAGTCATCATGTCCCACACCCCCAGAGCGAAAGATCGCTATACCTTGTCTCAAGCACGCCAGGGGCTGGTGTTTGCCCGACGTGCTCATGGTTCTGGGAATCTTGTCTTGAGACTCTCGCAGTACTTCAAGGAACTCGCAAGCTTGCACTCGGTCATGTGCATAGTGAGGAGATGGGATTGTGTCCATCGAGTCTTAGCTGAAATCAGAGCATCCGAGCCTGTCCAGCATGTCGCGCAAGAGCAGGTTGGCGCCAACAGTGTTGCGGCTGCAGCTGGGACCCAGCCCCTTGGCTCTGTCAGGTGGTGTGCATCACTCACCGCCTCAGCAGGGGGTCCGAATAGTCCCAGTTGGAAAGCATGAGCTGCGGTCACCACGTCCGCAAAATTGTCCTCCCGTCCATTGGCCTAGAGGGCCGTGCCACTACAAGCAGCTTTCGTGCTGATCTCGGTGCTGTTGAAACGCGAGAAAGCAGACACCTACATGACTGCTGTGCCCCGCTCTGGTAAAGCCATAAGAAACAGCTCAGCTCAAAACTCGCGAACCAGGGGTCTTCGCGTCTCGCGGCTCATTCGTCTGTCTCGATTGGTGCGGCTGGTGCGGCTCTACAAAGCTTCAGCGGCTCGGCACTAGGGGAACCCTCGAGCACATAGGTTTGTGGCATTCAGTTCTCCATGCTCCGGCGCATCCCTATGCCCAGCTTCAGGCTACGGTCGAGTCATTGGTCGACTACGTGCGTTCTCCACTGATCGTGGTGTTGAACCCAAGCTGCAACGTCATTGAACGAATGCAAGTCAGGCAGACATTATCTCAAGAAGGACAGTGATCGTACATGGTCCTGTCTTGACACCAGCACAAGTCAGGATTGGCCTAGCCAAGCTGATCTTGTTCATTCTCTTTGCAGCATGGCCGCGCTTCGTGGTAGCTGCCGGCAGTTTGGTGAGATCCTGCACGTTCACGGGTATATTGTACTTGTAGCTGCTGGTAGTTGCTGCGTTGTTTTTCCTGGTGCTTCAAACGCATAGACCCTGCACATCCATGCATCAGGTGAATCACTACATCGCCTGCGCATCTCGGCTAGGTGGCCATGGTTCCACGTAGTTTCGTCCAAGTTGGCATAACTGAGTAGAGACAGACGCTGCTTGCGCAGCTTAGGCTTAATTGCATGCCCCGTTCGAGCGGTTCCGTCCCCCGTTGCCACAATCAGTACGGCTAAGCCACGTCTTTTGTCTGTGGCGATTTTGCATGGATCTGGCGCACACTGGACCTCGCGCCCTTGGAGCCCCAACTCGACGTTCCAGCAATTCAGCTAGACTGTGTAATTAGACATGGATGCATGGGTTTCTTCGAGTTTTCTGCATGATCACTTATCTGCACGTTGAGCCTGGGGGATAACAGACAAGACAGGGCTGCGGCATGATGCCAGTACCCGTGAACCTGGGCCGAAGTGCAACAGCGACGCAGTGGATGATGGAGGTTTGCATGATGTACTGCATGAGATTCCCCCGCCAACTGGTGGGCTACTGCATGGAATTTACAGAGCATTGGTGGAAGCATGGACAAGACGGAGTAGGGTGCTGCATGGAAAGTACATTGATGCATGCATTGGCATCTGGCATGAGCATGACATTGAGCCTTCACAACACTGTCACGCGAGACGAGGGCTGCGTACATGCCAGAATGCAGCTGCTGGTAGCAAGGGAAAGAGGGAAACAGCAAGGTGAATCTGAGTGAGCCTCCGGAACCTGTATGCGCTAACCCAGTGTCATGCCGGAGCCCTTGTAGTGTCTGTAAAGCTTGGTGCAAAGGGCTGTTAATGTTTTTGAGATGGTGACACGGGCCGTCTCTATTGCCAAAGTGCTGTCGTCGCTACCAGGAACCTCGCCTAGGCTTGTCCGAGAGTGAGTGCTGAATTCAGCTAGACTGTGATCCGACACTGCGGGTACGGGACTGTCTTCGAGCTGG